TATAATTTGGCTTATTGAACTGTAAGAGGAACTACTGCTTTTAAAATCGAATTCACTGGACTCAATCACTCATATGTGCTTCGTCGTATTAGTGGATGTAAATTATTTACTTTTGTAACTCGGGGGCTCGCAATTCTGATGTCGCCGACGTCCAGAGTTGGTATAACTCTGCCATTGCTTTTAACACATATTTTATATTTTAGTGGTCAATAACCTATAAACTGGCAGTAAAAACAAGGTTTAAAAATATTAATATTGGATTGGATTAAAATTGGATTTTGGAAATAACTCTCAAAGTATAGTATGGTGTAGTATGTATAGTATTATCGAAGTGACTAAATCTTCAATCTTGGACTTTTTGTGTCGCTACAATAAATAACGTTTTATGTTTTTTATGTCTAGCAACACAACTAGAATATTGAATTATTAATAGGACGTATTCAATAATAAATTTGAATGTATTATGGTTTTTAAAATAAATTTAAGATATTCCTTGCCTTTTATATTCATTTTTACTTTATTTAGAGTACTTTATTTAGAGTTCACTTAATTTTCACAGTTTGTCCTTTTTTTTAGTTTATTGAATTTATTTGATATTTAATGCAATTCAATATAAGCAATTGTTTTTAAGAACTTTACAATCTTCGCCAATTTTAGCCATGTTCTTTATTACTTTTTTCATTGCTTAGTCTTTATTAAATAATTTTATTATTTGTTTTATATTATTTTTGTATGTAAAGTATCTGTGCACTGCAACTTCATTTAATTTTATATTCATAAGCTTGTTATTTTCATAAAAATTTATAAATGTACTTCTTACGTACTCTTACGTACTTCCTTACTTTATTTTGTATTCTTTTTGCACCTTTTATTGTGTGTTTCACACTCAGTTCCTTCCATAAAGCAGCGCCAAATGCAGCATGGCGAATATTACGCCATTTTAGTACGCATTTCCGCTTGTGCTGTGTGCTGTGTGCTCCATTTTATTCATTTTATGTGAGTATTATTGAATTTTATTCTTTTGCTTTGTTTTATATCCTCTCGTTCCCTGCACACTCTCACATCTAACGCATTTGCATATTCGTTTTATTTTGTTGTATTTATTTTATTCTTTTTATTTATTTATTGTTACTTATTCCTTCTTAAAAATTGCTGCTTCTTATATTGCCTGTGACTTTATATTTGCAACATAAACAAAAATGCATTTGCATAATGGAGCATATTCCCTTTTTTGTTTTGTTTTTTGTTTTTTCTTCTTATTCTAGGACTTTTTTTCGGTATTATGTTTCGTATTATTATGTGCCGGTTTTGGAATGAATTTTTTGATTTATTTTTGTTATAAATTCATTCCTTTAAAATGAAGAAAAAGATATATATTCTGCTAAAGGAAGTATTTAGCAGTATATAGTAGAAAAATTGCATAGAGTGCTTTCACTTAAATATGGAGTGGCGTATGTCAAGTACCTCTTGAGGTGAAGTAGTTGTTATATTACTCAATGATATGTGATTATTAATGAACATATCATTATTAAGATACATTTGCATATAAGTAATAATAAAAAAAATTACGATTGTTGTAGAAAAATTGTTAGATACTTTGCTTATATCTACTTAATGATAACAGAATGGTAAGTGATAGAAATATATGAGATAATATCATATATTTCTACCATGATATTATATCATGGTAATAGTGGTGAAAATTTTTATTTTTTTATTTTCTATAGCTACTATTTGAGTTCAATATTTTTGTAGTCTGGGTTGCCGGTCATAGATGAACTAGCCAGACAGAGTGATTTAGGAAACCACTCGGAACATTTAAACAATCTAGGCATATCGTTGACATAATGTTAACTGTCACTGAATTCTTCCTGTGGCGAACTTTTTAATAAAAGATGGGAATACTCAACGAAGTGCAGGCATGTGTTTGTAAATTGAAGCCAATAGAAGAAAATCAAACTCTTTCCTAGAAATGCCCCGTAGAGATAAAGATATAGGATATGTAGAGATATAGAGATAGATATGTAGAAGATTTACTTAAGGCGTGCCGCCATCTTAACACTTTAGGTGCTTTCTTTATTGAGGATCTTGGCGAACTGCAAAACCTCTATCTGAATAGCATTATAAGCTTTGCCAAAGGTTTTAAGTGGTTCTAATTCTAGGGTTTTTAAATAATAGTAGATTTCTTAGAATTGTCGATAACCTAACATAACCTACCATTTTAATAATAATTTGTTTATCTGAAACTAATCGACCTCTTTTTGAGTTAGTATAATGGCGATCTGAATTAGATTTAAAATTGAATTTTTTTTTTTTATTTTAGGATATTATTTATTTATATGCAATGAGGTTTTCCATAAAAATGTTCAAATAGTTTCCGATAAATTTAAAATATAACCTAAGCCATCATGATTTTGTTAAAGTATAAAAACATTTTAAACAATATTTTATGAATAAAAATATTATTTTTTAACCTGTGACTTTTATAAAAATTATTGTATAATAATTAAAAACTTATTTGCAAATTAATCTTTTTTGTTTCTTGATGTATATATATTTTTTTTTCAATTGATGTACATCGGTAAATATTGAAATTATAGTGGATCAAGAAATCATCTAAGTAATTAGGAGACATTCTCTAAAAAAATCTCTTTCAATGTGATTTGTTTGACTTCGATAGTACTATTCACTGAATTAATGGATATAGATCCCAATATGTAAATGTATAAGCCATTTAAAGTCAAAAAAGTAGATTTTTAGTTCAAAGTCTCTTAAGTCGAATTATTTCACAACTCGAACTCCTATGTACGAACTTTGAATTTTCAACAACTCTTCCTTGTATTTTTTCTTCATAAGTCGAATTCCTCCAACTCGGATATATCCGTAACTCGAAGTAAAAATTCACATGGCTTTATGGGGGTACTTCCCTTTAAATTTAACTCCACAACTCGAATTTTTTGTTTTGCCCTTATATTTTCAAATATTTTTGTCAGTTAGTTTTCTAACTTACGCGACATTATTGGATTCTAACTATCAGCGATACTAAGATGACTAACAACTGCTCTTGTTATTGTAAATTACCTTAATGCGATGATGGAGTTGTGCTTATTATTAGTGAAGCAGTAGACTTTCAATCACAAACATGAGTAAAAGAAATTTCAAATGTTTGACAATCCCGGAATAAATTAATTTAATTATTGAAGTAGAAAAAGGTGGCAAAAAGAAAAAAGATATAGGCGAAAAATATGGAATTCCTTGTAACATCTTATCAACGATTTTAAAAGATAAGGACAACCAATAAAGAGAGTTCTGTAATAATAAACGTAAACGTATTACAATATGTAAATAAGATGACGTGGAAGAAGCTATGTTACAATGGATAATTACTGCAAGAGCAAAAATCTACCTCTGTTGGGTAGTATTATTAGAAAAAAGGCAGAACAGTTTGCAGACACAATTACCATAAATAAAGATACGATTAAGACATTTTGAACATTTATCCATTCCAGAGCAAACGCACCGGATGACATATTCCAATTAAGTAAAATTATGTGTGCATATTCAAATCATTAAATACTTTGGAAATTTAAAGTAAAGTGGCAAAAGTAATGTAGCTGAATATTTTAAATAAAAAATATTTGGTAGAAAGACCAAAAAAAATGTTTTCTCTATAACTCGAATTTTTCCTACTCGAACTTTTTTGCCGTCGCCTTGACGGTACGAGTTAGGAGAATTTCACTATATTACTTTTTACGGCTTCAGAGATACAAACTTAAACGTTCTACAAATATTCCTCGTTTAATATCTTTCATAGAACTAAAGATTGGGACTTCAATTTTCTTTTATTTGAGGTTTTTTTTTGTTAAATTAATATTAATTTTAATAATGATACCAAATTCAAGTTTACTACAGCCGTAGTTATAACTAAAATATTAAACTTGTGTAGAATCCTAAGGTTTGAAAAGACGTGAATATGATTCTATATGATAAAAGTGATTATATATGATACATTGTTTAACAACTTAAGGTTTATATTAAAATTATTTTCTACATTCGATTGTAAAGCTAACTATGATTATAAGGCAGCACCGGTATTCCAATTGAGCAAATGATCACATTGAATCAATATTGTTCATATACTAACGATTCTACGTTTAGCCCATAGTCCTCTAAAATGTGCAATTTTAATAAGACAATTAGGTTAACCTTTCTGAATTTACCACTTAAAATGCACTTCTATTTTAAATATCTGAAACTACTGCATTATTCGATCACTTTATAGACAACATTCGAAAACATATCTTATGTTTGAAATTTTATCTATTAGAGGAACGCCTGCTGAAAATAGTAAAGGTTTCTATCGTTAAAGTTTAAGAGGTAGAAAGAGATAGAAATCGAATTATTTTGTGATATTATACTCGATACAAAGCGTGAAATAACTAAAAGCACGCAAAATTTATTCTATAAACGCAATAATTTCGTGAAACTCTTGAGATCTGCATTTGAGAATTCCAATACCTGGGCTCAGAAGCCATATTTGATAACCTAATCAAATGCTTTAATGTGGATTTTACAATCAGTGAAATGCACGACTAAGCTCAACATGCTTTTAAAAACATAAGATCAAGTTATGCTAAGTACTTCCTTACATGGGAAGTATAAGGATGCGGACAGTATAAATAATATAAAAATATGATTGAAGTGAGACGAGAACTGTGTATTTTAGCGTAAACAAATATTTTGTTTAAAAAAGTTTTTGATGTATAAATTAAAATGGAAACCTAAAAAGAAGATGTTTAAACTGTCCTTTAACAGATGAATTTAAAATTGCTCTGTGATTATTTTTTGCACTTTCTAATTAAACATATATGAATTCATATACTGAATTCCTCAATTCCTCAATGTACACCTCGATATCTTTTTACGATTGCACTAACAAGAAACTAAAACACAGATTTTAATTATTTCAAAAATGCGAAAATTTGTATAAGCCATCAACATACGAGTAAAATCATTTTAGTCAACATGTAATTACAGATTTATATCCGATGTACTAGTTTTTAAAATTATTATATTATATTATAAAATATATATCAAATATTAGTTCAGTAATACCGAAAGGCCTTACTTTTTTGGTCTGATTGCCATCACTGTGCCTTTTAAAGTATATTCTCCTCCATGCCAATTGCCCCAATAAATTCCAGTCGTATTATTTGTACCATATTCACCGTTTAAGTTGCAATTAGAACTGAAACTTTATTCAACTGTTTAATTATAGAGGTCAGAAGTATCTTATATACCTGTCTAAGCAATCATGATACCACCAGCCACTTTTGAAAAGTTTAGCACAATCTTTAGTTGATATATCATTATTAACGTCTATTGTTGAAAATTTTTGACCCTCATGGGGACCAAATGAATCGCCGGCATCTCCTGTATATTTACCCAAAATGTTTATTGCATATTTAGTTGATTCATCACCGATAGCAAAAGAGTCGTAATATGCGGAACGCTTTTGACCTTCGAAGTCTTCTAAATTTATCCATAATTCATTTATTTCAGATTGTGTTAAAGCGTGTAATTTGTCTAATCCAATAAAAAAAGCACCTGCCAAATTACCGAATCCTGATTTGTATGTATCCCAATCAACGAAAAAATTTATACTGCTTTCTACACGTCGCTGAATAACTGTCCAAGCAGTACCATTATTGGGATCCGATATGCAGTAGACATAAAATGGTTTTAAATCTGATTCTGGAATATATAGTTTATAAATACCACTCTCCTTGTCGTCACCAAGCAATGCTTCAGCGCAGCTCTTGCGATAATTTGATTTTTCTACTGTTAGCTTTTGGTTTATTTCTGTAACTGATTGTGAGAGATTAAATATTATTTGCTCTTGAGTTAATCTGGAAGAATTATTTTATTTAGTTTGTCATTTGTTAAAAAATTGGAAGAATACCTCATATCTACTAGGTCCATTTTGATGGCCTGCAATTCATCGTTAAGAGTAAATATTTCAGAATCTCTTCTTATATCATGGCATTTTATTTTATGACAACAACCAGTATTCTTAAATATTTATTATTAGTGAAGTTTTAATTCAAATTATTTTAAAAAAATTCCATTTACCAAAAGTACTAAAACATTTATTAAAGAAAATGCAACTAATTTGTGTATCAGCATCTTGACGAGTCGGAAATTACTACTTGAATGAAATATGAATTAATACATTAAATTGTAAACTGATTGAAGCTTATATTCTTATCAATAATATTATATAATGTACTTGAGGAATTTTTCTTTGTTCATATTTCTACTTAATTTCAAGAAATTAAAAATACTTAAATATATGATTATCAATTTGCATATAATCTGTATAAATGTTTTTATAATCATAATTATAGATTTCAATCAATTTCTGATGAAAATCGTACGAGTGTTGCTCATACAGTTTTTTTTTCCATTATGAAGCAAATGAATTACAAAGTGTTTATAGTGTTAATTAATTCCTGCCATTATTTTACTAAATAGTAACTAGTTTGCAAATGTTAGAGAGTTTGAGGACTCGTTTTATATACTTACATTCACCATACTTTGCGCAAAACCTATGAAAAAATTAGGTATTGACAAATCACAAGTTCATAGTGACCAACTCCACTCTGGCGTTATATGCTGTCGATACGTGTATGCTATACTCAGATAAATGTGCTCTCAACATAACCAACACACTTCTAGAGCATATAAATCTCATTCTGGAATATTTTCAGAAATGGAAAATAAAAATCAATAATGAAAAAACTAAGACTCTGTTTATAACGCGTAAGTAAAGACAGCATCCGTCGAGAGTGAGAGTGGGTGATATGGTGATAAACTGGGAGAATAGCGTTAAAAATATCGAAATCACGTTGAACAAACAATTCACAAGGCTTAAAATTGTTCAATTGAAAAGAATTAGCTGTGCCAAAATTTTTCATTACCTCCAACCGCTATTTAGAAATGAAAATCTCAATACTAAGAAGAGGAAACTGATATATAACCAAATAATTCGTCCGTCACTTCTATATGGTTGTGTAGCGTTAAGCAAAGCTTCAAACACTACTATTCACTAGCTAGAAATTGCACAAAGCCAGGCTCTGAGAAGACTTTTCAAAGTTCCATGGTACATTGGGACGAACGACATCCTCAGGGATATCAAGAATGATCCCATTAAAAAATACCTAAAGGATAGAGCCTTGAAATTATTTGCGAAATCTGACAGACTTACCACCACCACGTTATCCAATCTCAGAATGGTTGCAGGCTCCTCAGGGAGGTATGCAGATCTGAGATCAATTATTGCTTAGTCTGATCAAGTGACAAACAATAATTTAGTCAAGGCGCAAAGAGGGGTTTTGAAGAAACCTCGTAGTTAATAGAGAGTCAAAGTGCTCAGGTGCACTGACTCAACTAGCCTCAACATAATAACTCGTATTAACAAAACATGAATTTAATTGTCTGGAAAATTTTTGGCAGCACAAATCTTAAAAAGGGCGTGTTTTATCGCTTACGTCCTCTTGAAAGCATAGATCATCTTTATATACATTCATGCATTCAATTTCAAGGAAAGATGAATTAATACTCATTAATTATATTTGAAAAAGTAAGGGCACATTATAACTCTGTACCAAATATACATCATACAGTGAGTCTTATTCAATGGTTTTTTGACAATTATTTGTATATTTTTGCTGCCCCTAACTACCTAACCTACCTAAATTTTTTTAGTACGAAAGCTCATCCAACTAGCGTTTAATACCACCAATCGGACTTTTACAATGCGGGATACAGATAACTAAAGTCATCTATTAGGAAAATAATGGATTTCTTTTAACAACATCTAGTAAAACTCTTTTTATATAAATTAATACATTTCTTCTACATTTTTTCAATGACTACACGCAGAAATTTTGTAATAACAATAAATTATTAAGAAAGGATGAAACATTTAAAAAATATGTGAAATAATGTTGATCCTTAATCCTTGAATGAATATTTTCCTTTTAGTGAAAGTGAACAACATGCAAAGCAAATGCAATTTTGCAATGACTTATGATGAAGTTTTATTAAAATCTTTGCGGTACATGGTGAGTGCACCTTTAGTAGTGTTCCGAAATGGAATTTATGTCACACATAAAATAGAAAGTTGAAAATTGCAATAAAATAAAAATTTTTAAATAAAAGTTGCGCAATAATATAAATAATGAAAGGAATTTTTTATTACCAATTTAACAACACTCCAAAAGAATAAAATAAAAAATTTACGAATGGTGAGTGCTACTCTCAGACTCATAAAGGAATGGATGAGTAGAAACATAATTTTTAGTAAATAAATATAGTACTTTATCTTTTGTGTATAGAAAATATATGCAATTAAAATTTAATAAGTGACTTTAAAAGAAAAGGATTTTGTACTAATTTATTAAGTTCTATATAAAATATTGTTGTGAAAGAAATTGAAATCAGTTATTATTTACATGATTTATTATATCTCAGGGAAATATTTCCAAATTTGAGGCAAGTTTTGCATTAATTAAATTTCATTTAAAATAAATCTTATATAAAAAGATTTTTTTGGCATTATTAATTCGTACACTTCTAACACAAGAACTAACTTGAAGTAACTACAAGTATGTCCAAGGGTACTTCAATGTCCCACCACTCAATTTCTAATTTGAGAACGTACAAATGCCGCACAATGTACGGAGTTCTAATTACCAATCATGGCAGCAGCTTGTTTTGACATTTTAAATTAATTAATTTCAAAATCTGAAAAAGCGGACGTTAGTACAAGGTAAAGTGTGCACCTTAACATGATTTATGATTAATGAATAGTTTATTTTTCATTTAGTTAAGAAAGTCGAAACCTTAAATCACGTATGAAATCAAAAAAAGAAACATGAAAGCCTTTTCATGTATCCATAACTTATTATATTACAATGCATAGTTATGATTATTGTATTTTAAAACTAATGAAAACTATTTAAACATATATAAATAAATATCTACAGGTATAATAATATTGTAGGGTATTATACAATAAATTTGACATACGCAAAATTAATGTATATATTAATTTTTTTAATTAATATTAATAAATTAATGTATGTATACATATGTATATATTTATTACTTCGCCAAATATTTTACATATAATATTTTACATAAATTTATTCAAATCTAATACAGAAAAAAGAACTGAAATTTAAAAATAGGTACTATACAGCCAACGTTCGGATGCCTAGTTTAGTGGTCCTCGCTGAGTAAACAGCACATTTAGTCTAGTTCAAAAACTAACCAACAATTAAAACAAGTATGCATGTAAGTTACGGCGGTATTGAAGTCATGCCTCACTAGTGCGTTCAATGCTATGGTTCACTTAATATTCACATTTAATAAATGACTACTTATGAGTACTTGAAAGTCCTCGCCCATCAGAAATTCCATAAAAGGGAATTGGGATGTAGGGGTAATAACCACGATAAGGAAGTTCAGCAATTTACACTGATGTCTAACACATGGATAAAGCAACAAAAGCTGGTACTTATTTAACGGATCTAGACATTAGTAAGTTGTGCCATCTTTGCAAGTCATCTATAATATTTCAAGCAAAAATTTTCAACATCCTAAAAGCCTGTCAGCATGTGCTTTCATGAAAAGATGTCTATATTCTCACTTATAGTAGGGCATAGATTAAAGCTAATCCAGTCGTTCTCATGTCGTTCAAAATAGTTCAGGAATATAAACGATGTAAAACGTTCTACGTAGTTGGTCTAAGACAGTCTAGTTTAAGTTCCTAAATATACTCATATCACAGAGAGGAGAAATCGATGCTCCTGTCATTTCACCTAATGCACCTTAAAGATAATTATACTGCATAATGCTTTGCTTAATATTGTATCTTTTTTAAAAATTTTTAAAAAAAAAAACGTTTTCTAATGAAGAATATTTTATTTCTTGGTAAAAATCAGTTTTATTTAATTTTTTTTTTTTTTTTATGTTTTTTTGGGCTAAATAAACTTTTGGCAAATAATATGTCGTTTGAGTCAAAAAATAATTCTTGATTGCGCATTCGACACTTTCCGCTTGTCGCTATTAAGTCTCCACATCCAAAAACTGTAGCTATTTCTAAGGTACTCTTTTCATCATCATATTCCAGAAGAATTCGTTATCAATTTATTATGTAGAAACCATTTTAAACATATCCTGAGTTATGTGCACAGTAAAGGCATGTTCCATTCTCCATAATCATTGGTGACACCATGTATGCTATGGGCAATATCTAGATTTATAGCAAACATTATGAGCAATGAGTAGGTTATTAAACAGCTGTACTAAATAATATTTTCATACCACTTCAAAATACACACTTTATTTTCTGTTTTTATAATTCACATGCTAATAAAATTACAAAGTATCAAATTAAATATTCTTTAATGAATATTTGTGAGAATATTGGTCTCGCATAGATCTTAGTTCCATTCTTCTTTTAAAATTGAATTTCGTTTTCGTATTATGTATATCAATTAAAAAGATGGTATTTCAGCACTACAGGGGTTACATATATATTTGGAATTAATAGAAAATTCTCGGATATTTTCGTATATATATTTAGTTATAATTTTTAATTCAATGTAAACAACTGAGTATTATATTAATACTTATAATAAAAGTATTAAGATATAGAATTAAGAATTAAGATATATTTTTTCTTTAAATATAGTAAATAATAAATCATACTAAGTTAATATTTAATAAGTTCACAAATTTTTCACAATAATGTTAGAAATAAATCACTTTGAATAGATATGAAAAGAAAACAACAAAAATTTTAGCTAATTTATTGAAATTTTGCTGTTTCGAGTTTTGGCAAGTACTCATCATCAGTGGTCTTAGGAAATAATCGAATTTTGATTAGTTTAAAGTCCGTATATAATACTGTTTGGACTGGAAGTGCTAGGCTTACAACTCGTGTCTGTTAAATTAGAAGCGGTGACTAATCGTGCTTCTACACAAGTAGCAAAGGCTATTTCTTTTTATTTTATTAAGAACATGATTAGAAACCCTTACTGAGTCCAATTACTTCCTTTATAGGAAAAGCAGTATGATAGAAATTTACTGTTTATATAAGATTTATTAATAAAAAAATTTAGTCTTT